TTAAAAAAGTAAATTGAATTTGAGTTTGATTTTACTTGGGCTAGCTTCTCAAGCTGTAACATATACACATCACCTGGGGATCCTACTACAGTGAGAACATAGGTTTCATGACCATGGAGTCCAACAAGATGACTGTCCAAGGGATCTCTGAGTACCATGTTTATTTTTTAAAGTATATAAGAAATAGTCAATAAATTGTGTGTGTGTGTGTGTGTGTGTAATGCTGGTGCCAACTGGAGGTGTTAAATTCCCATAGAACTAGAGTTAGAGGTGAGTATGAGAAAAAGTAAAACCAAAAGAAGTATTTTCTTCAAATAAAAACCATATGATATGTGCGAATTTAATTCATTTTTTTCTTGTAATACAAAATCCTAAATGATGAAATTTTGGCTACTTCAAGATGAGAACTGGGCTGAACAGTAAAAGAAGGTATCACTTTTAAAAAAATTAAAGTAATAGGGAAATAGTGCATATGTTATCAAAATGCTATGAAGGAATCATTTCTCTTCTTCAAAAAAAGAAGACACACAATGCAGATGGTAGATAACATATAAAAATGTTTAATGTTTAAGAGTTTTAAAGCTCTTATCAATAATGTTTTATAATTTATATTAAGATGTGATGGGCCTGGTGTGAGCCTTTGGTATATTAACGCAGGGTGAAGGAAAAGAAGACATCTACTCCACCGGCAGGTCTGAGACCCATTACATACCCAAAAAGATATTTACCTGTGACCAATGCAGACATGCCAAGTATGTGGGGAAGACCAAGAAAATCTCAGATACTCATTCTCATTCCATTACCAAGGTCACTTGATTCAAGCCAACCCCTCACAGTCAAGTTAAAGGAGGGCCCCAGTAAGGCACTGTCTCCAAGTGTGACCACAGGTTCTCTGTACCTACTGAGAACTTAGAGCAGCCACTTTTTCTGCCATGGGAGGAGGGGTCCACAACCAGACATACTACAACTCACACACCCTTGTAAGTCCCAAGCCATCAGGAAAGCTACTTTAAACAAGTATCTACAAAAGAAGGGAATTGTGTTTCTCGTGAAATCATTTCAGGGAAATATGTTACTGTTCTATTTATACTCATTTCTATAACCTAAAAGGAAAAGAATTGGGCTCTCATTAAATCATTTCAGGGAAACTATTTCACTACATAATTATATATCATGCAGTTTAACTCTCTCTTCTTCAAAACTGTATCTACAACCTCAAAATACTACTGCAAATAAACAAGTACCTGCTATGGATACTGTGCCATTGCAGCTAAGAGGATGGTGGCTGAAGACACCAAATTAAAGCCAGGAATACACAGTAGTATGAATTCACTCAAGGTCTGTGAAGCTGGCTTTTTTAGACAATGATTCATCTAACTGAGGGGCAAGTCATTGACTAGATTAGATTTTGTCAAAGAAAACAATTCAAAAAATAGAAAACATGTTCATTGTCACTAATCACCTAATATCAACTAAAAGGCCATGTGTTCAAGATGTGTCCTGTGATGCTACTGGAAGGTCCTGGATAAAGGTTGACATATATGTCAAGGTCTATTGGCCAGCAAAGGCCCCCATTGTTGAAGGAGACAACAGGATCCTATTCTCTCCTTTCTTTTACCTCCTTTGCCCAGTCATAGGTCCAGATCAACAGTCCAACAACCATGATCTGGAACCTCCCAAACTATAAGCCAAAATGACTCTATTCTTACTGTAAGTCAATCATCTCAGGCATTTTTATAGCAATATATACTTTAACTAACAAAATATGAAGCCATAATATATGTGTGAGTTCATATATTAGAGTCCAGATGGCAGCAACCTCATTTGCAGAAAGAACCAAGCTGTGGCTTGGGGGGGGGGGAGATAATAAAAGCTTCTATGGAGGAAATAACTTTAAGTAATTTTTCTTGCACAGGAGAAAATATATTGACAGGATCAAGTAACAAGTTGTATTTCTAATTTTACCACATGAAAGGAAAACACACAGGAACAAAAGATATTACTTTAAAGGAAGTAGTACACAGCTGGTCCTATTATAATTTTATATGGAATACAACTGAATTTCATATTCCATAGTTACGATTCCCCCCTTCTCACATTTCCTTATTTTACTGGCATAGTCGGTCACTCACTATGTATAAAACATGCTCCCAGGCACCAGCAACATAAACAAGTTACATCCGAAACCAAAGGAACACACTGTTCTCCACAATCTCTCTTTCCCACAATCATGGATTAGACACAATTCTTTTGAGAGCTGTAATTCATGTCTGGTACCCCCAGATTACACATTTGTTTATCTCACAATTATCTCAACTACTTAATGCCCTAAATTTATTAGGCTAGTAATATGAACCTTGAGAACATTCTCTGTCTTCTGAATGAGACACAACAGCAGAGATGAGCCTTGTGACAGGGGAAGGGCACACAGACATGTGTACAGACCTGCACATTCTCTCTCTCTCTCTCTCTCTCTCTCTCTCTCTCTCCCCCACCCCCACCACAGCTCAGTGTGGGAGAGTAAAACTTCTTAAAGAAAATGGCATCTAACTGAGAGCTCAATCATGAAAAGCAGCCTGACAGCTATGTAGGTTTTTCTACACAAACAGAAGTCTGTGTGTAGCTCTAATGGGCAGGGAAAAAAAAAAAAACAAAACAAGAAACAAACAAAAACTAAAAAGAAGTAAAGGGGCCATGGCCCCACAGCAGAGGTTGAGGGTGCAGAGAATCAGGCCAAGGGGGAACTCCCACTAACTGGAGGTTACTGAGTCAGGACTCTTGTCTGAGGATGAGGGCAGAAGTCAGAGAGGCCTCCAGCAAAGTCCTGATCATGCTGAGACACACAACAAAAAGCAGATGTGCCCTGTGGGCATAAAATAACCTGAATAAATCTACTCTCTGCTGTCCTACATCAAAGCTTTTCCCACTAACGAAAAATATACAGGGCAACAGAAGTTTCTGGTGCTACCTAGTACAGTGCTACCCAACACCAACTACTGTGAGCCATAAAATGTAAGTCTGACCTTTCTTTATTGACATAAAGATTTAGTATGTATGCATGTGTGTGTATACATGTGCATGTATATACATATGTATGTTTGACTGAGTGTGCATGCCTGTGTGCATGCCTGTGTGCATGCATGTGTGTGAACACACACCTTTATGTGCATGTGCGCATGTGTGTACATGTGTGTATATATGTATGCATGTGTGCATGCATTGTACGTGCATGTGTGTGCTTGTGTGTGTACCTGTGTGTGTGCCTATGTGTGTGTGTGCCTACGTGCATATGTGTATGCGCGCCTACATGTGTGTATGTGTATGCGCATGTGTGCATGCATGTGTGTGCGCGTGTGTGTGCCTGTGTGCGCATGCATGTGTGCACAAACACAAAGGCAATGTGAAGGTTCCTCACCACATAAATTCCAGGGATCAGGTCAGCAGGCTTGGCAGCAAGGGTCTTAACCACTGAACCAACTCACTAGCTTTAATTTTGACTTTTTAAATTTTAATTAAAACATAATTATTATATCATCTTCCCCAATTCCCTATGCTTATCCCTCCTCCCAAATTTAGCCTCCTCATCTTTAGTCACTATTGTTACAAATACATAAAAGTGAATAAACGCAAATATGTCCTATTGGATCCTGTACTTTTTCAAAGTAAACTGTAATTAATTATACATTTTATTTAATGAAATACTTTTTAAAATAAATATTTAAATTATAAACAATCCTATTTTACATACCAATCCAAGTTCCCTCTCCCTCCCATCCTCCCATGCACCCCACCGACTCCTGTCCCACCTCCAGAGAGGGTGAGGCCTCCCATGGGGGGGGTCATCAAAGTCTGTCACATCATTTGGGGCAGGACTGTCACTTCAGCATGTTATACAAATATGGTGATATTTTGCTTCTTTTTCATTCTGTCTGCATGTTTTGGTGAACATTTTACTCCTACAAAGCACCCTCCAGATGCTCTGGTGACATTAAAGCCTAAGAAGCCAGTTTGGCTGTGGTGGCCAAGCCCTTAATCCCAGCACTCAGGAGGCAGAGGCAGGTACATCTCTGTGAGTTTGAGGCCAAGCCTGACCTACAGAGGGAATTGCAGGACAGCCGCAGCTAAACAGAGAAACCCTGGCTCAAAAAACAAAAACAAACACCTTAAGAAGTCACTTTTGGCTAATACCAAATCATTAAACAGGTCTAATCTAGACTATAGTTTGGGAAGCATTCTCAGAATTTTTATAGAACTCTTGTGATTTTTTTTTTTTTTTTATTTTCTGATTTATACAGAAAAACTCAAAAGACTGCAAAAGTTCCTCAGCCCAGCAGGAAAGAAGGCTCAGAGGTTAAGAGCACTCGCTGCTCTTGCAGAGGACGCCAGTTTCAGGGCATCCAAGACCTTCCAGCTTCCAGGGACACTGTACATACATGGTACACACACATGCAGACAGGTAAAACACTCATACACATAAAGTATAAATAAATACCCTTAAGAGATAAAACAGAAATTATTCAATAGTGCTATATTAAAAACACCGTGAAAGTGTAGGTGTTGATGTTCTCTTGCATCAAAAACTTGTGCAATGTGAGTTTCTTTACCTCTCCATCTCAGCAACTCTTCGAAAGTGGTATGAAGACTCAATTTATAAGCTCATAATTTTATCTTTATGCAAAACTAATACACAGGGAGAAGACTGGCAGATTAAAAAGTAACTGTGGCTAAAATATACTGTTTTTATAGCTGCCATTTTTTAGCTCTATATTCAAGTTAGTACTTCCTCAGACTTCAGAAGAAAGCCACTGTGTGGGAGGAAAATGTTGCCCTCTGTGCTTCCTTTTGAAGGAAGATTAAAAACTCCACAAGAGGGAGTAAATGGTTCAAAACCGTTGTTGGTTTCACCATATTCGTGTTCCTCCACACTATTAGCTATCAGTCACAAATGACTTGAAAGCCATAAATTGCCCTTTAAGTAACTAGTCTGCTTCTCTATCCAGATCTTTGCCTCCAGAAATTTCGAGATGGCCAATTCAACCACCACAGAACCTCCAAAGCAGCCCTGCTCCCGGAACACCCTGATCATGCAGCAGATCATTCCTGTGTTGTATTGTGTGGTCTTCATCACAGGGATCCTCCTCAATGGAATATCAGGATGGGTATTCTTTTATGTGCCCAGCTCTAAGAGTTTTATCATCTATCTCAAGAACATTGTTGTCGCTGACTTTCTGATGGGCCTGACTTTCCCTTTCAAAGTCCTTGGTGACTCAGGCCTTGGTCCCTGGCAGGTGAAGGTGTTCGTATGTAGGGTCTCTGCCGTGATCTTCTATGCTAATATGTATGTTAGCATTGTGTTCTTTGGGCTCATCAGCTTTGATAGGTACTATAAAATTGTAAAGCCCCTTTTGACTTCTATTGTCCAGTCAGTGAACTACAGCAAACTGCTGTCTGTGGTTGTGTGGATGCTCATGCTTCTCCTCGCTGTCCCAAATATCATTCTGACAAACCAGAGTGTCAAGGAGATTACGAAGATACAGTGTATGGAACTCAAAAATGAGCTGGGGCGGAAGTGGCACAAAGCGTCTAACTATGCCTTTGTGAGCATTTTCTGGATTGTGTTTCTTCTGTTAATCATCTTCTACACAGCCATAACGAGGAAAATCTTCAAGTCTCACCTTAAGTCCAGAAGGAATTCCATCTCAGTCAAAAGAAAATCCAGCCGCAATATATTCAGTATTGTGCTTGTATTTTTTGTCTGCTTTGTACCTTACCACATAGCCAGAATCCCTTACACAAAGAGTCAGACGGAAGCTCATTACAGCTGCCAGTCAAAGGAAACCCTACTGTATGTGAAAGAATTCACTCTGCTACTCTCTGCTGCAAATGTATGTCTGGACCCCATTATTTATTTCTTTTTATGCCAGCCATTTAGAGAAGTCTTAAATAAGAAGCTACACATCCCGTTAAAAATCCAGAATGACCTAGACACTTCCAAAAGCAAGAGGGGAAACACAATTCATGAAAGCACAGATACTCTGTGAATTCCCATTCCCTTCCAAGTACTGTCCATTTGTTGCATGATAATCAAGAAGTATAAATAAAAATGCATGCTTATGATGATAAGTAACCTATCTAGCAATATTACTCAATAGTAAGTATGAAGTTCAAAATAGTAAGTACAGAAAAATTCAAAGTTTCCATGTAAAATGAAAAGTCTGCACACATGGCACTTTTTTAGAAATCAAGTGAATGGAGGAATAGCATGTGGTTTCTGGTCTACGAATAACCAAAACTGAACCCTTCTCTGATATTAACTTGCTTCTTAGAAAACACCCAATCTTTCAGATGGTCCTGCAAAAGATTTTTCTATTAATGCTCATATCTACTTCCTGTTTTACACTCTGTATGTACCAATAAACAAGTTGTCTTCAAAACCATCGGGGATTTTTTATTAACTACCAATGTATGGAGGGACACCCCCACATTTCCTCACAACCACACATAGGTCAGTACAGTATGCTTAGTCACACTTCAGTGCAAAGAAGGGGGTTACACAGAAAATGGGAACATTCTACTTGTCTCTGGCTTTCCCAAATGAGTATTTCATATGCTCTAAGTCCTATTAAAACTTTAGAATAAATGCAGCCTAAACTGAAACAGGAATGTTTCTGTGATCTTCTGAGTATCATTCCCCACTCCGCCAAGAGCTCCATGCACCCAGTGATCAGTCAAACTCTGGAAAAGAACAAAACTCACCAAGATCTGACAGACATCTTGGGGACTAAGTAAGCTTTATGTGCTTAGCTAAATGCACATGGGGATAGGAAGCAGACTGTGTTTATTATTCTTTAGAACTCCCATAGCCAGACAATACTTCCCCCTAACTAGGCTACTGAAGAAAATGTAAAACAGGAAGAAAGGTACTAAGTAAGGCTTCAGTCATATGGGTTATCTCTCCAACCTCCATCCTCTTTACTCCACAACAAAAGTAAAACTTGTCCTTAGAAAGTCACTTTCCCCTGTAGGACAAAGCTATGTCTTTGTAACCACTATGCCAAAGCAGACGACTAACAGAAAAGATGTTTTAGGAAAACGACATGTCAGGTGGATAAGGAGATTAGAAACCCCAGCAAAGTAACAATTACCAAATGTCAGAACTATTATTGGGTGTATGGAAACAACCAGAAATGAAGACGCAGAGCACTGGCAACAGAGGGCTAACCTAAGCACTCTTCAGATACCATGATAGTTTAAAGAGGCCACAGGGAGCACTATACGGTGCTTCTATAGATGAAGCTACAACAGAGTGCCCATAGATGCTCATATGGCACAAAAGGCGATCAACAGTGATAGGAAGACAGGAAAATGAAAGAGGATGGTGAGCCAACAGTCTGTGCCTCACTGAGAGTCAAGTCTTTCAGCTCTAGCCAACTGCTTCCTCACCTTTATAGGAAATGTAAAACCATGGGGCTTTTACATTGCTGGGCCTTAAGTCAAATCAATTATTTGTGTGTTACTTTCACAGGATTTGTGCTACCATTGCACTAGCATATTTTGGGAGCAATGCACCACTGATAAAGGTTTTCTGGCTGGTGTGGTGTTAACATTTCTCTTTTGAGAGCTGCACAGCACCTTCCTGTACCAGAGACATTGGAACCTGGGGAGAAGGCGCTGTGTAGGCACCAGCTCAATCCTCCATGTTCAATGAGTTGTGCAGGTGTTGTCTTCAGCAATGGGGCCTTGCTGTCAGTTTGTGGAAAGCAACCTACAATCTTGGCAACCAACCAACCAACAAAGGGGTCTTGGGACCCCTTTGGCCAACAACTCCATTAGATGTAACCTTGTAACCTAATCCTGGTACTGGAAGCCTCATTTGTCAACAAGAGATGGCCAGTTTGGACTCTCTCTCCCCCATTGTTTGGCAATTTCAATATATACATTGAATATTCTCTACAGTTTCTACTGTTTCCATAATAATATCCCCTCAAATGTAACTTAATTTAGTTCTCTCTCCCCATATGCCCTTCCACAACAGCCCCTCTCCCACCCACTCCTACTTAATTCCCCCTTTCTTGACACGATCTATCTGGTCTTTCTAGTCCCTTACTCAATATCTACCCTCTGTGGTTCTATGGATTGTAACTTGGTTATCATTGACTTAGCAGCTAATAGCCACATATAAGCAAATGCATAGCTTTTTGTCTCTATGAGTCAAGAATACCTCACTCATGATGAGTTTTTTGTTTGTTTGTTTGTTTGTTTTTTGTTTTTTTTTTCTTTTCTAGTTCTTCCATATGCCTGCAAATTTTATGATGCCATTTTTTAAATGACTGAGTTATACTCCATTTTATATATCAAATAAAGACACATCTGAAGCTAGACCATATGTTAGTAGCCATCCTGCAACATCTAGAACACAGAAATCTAGTAAAGGTATTCAAAAATAGCCCAGAAGAACTAAAAGTCACCATTCATTTTTCCACTTTCTTTAGCGGAATAACGTTCCTATTTCTATGCTTAACCAACTCAAGTACTTATGCCAACATGTTTTAAAGTGCTTTTGTGAAAGCAGTATCTGGGGTAGGAATCAAGAAACATGTCACAGAGCATTCACAACGATGTATACCAAAATTATACAGGCTCCACGGAGGGACCAGAACCAATATGGTTCAGAAAACTGACCTAAGTAGCATTCCCTGCTAGGTTACCTCCCCAGCCTCCACCCTCCCTTCTTAGCAACAGGTTTCTTTGCTTTGAGAAAGCCACTTTGTACGTTCTCAGCCATACAGCTAGCAGAGGTGAATTAGTACGAGCAGAGGTGAATTAGTACGAGGCAATTAAGTAGCCAGTCTAAATCCAGCAGTCACAAATTGGGATGGAACAACATCCAAACTGACCCAGTGGAAGCAAAGCCCAGGCTCATCCTCAAGAAACATCCTGGAAGGGGATGATATACAGATGTAAACTCCAGATGTGTGAGAACTCATATGAATGAAGGTTCACACCATGGTAGGTAGACAAAACCTGGTTCAAATCTAATCCTGGTTTTACAGTGAATGCCTGTCAGCCCCCACCTAAAGCCATGCCTACAACTTTGGACACTAGGGTATGCCAACTAGTAAACTTGTTACAAAAACCAACATCTAAGCTAGTTGTCCAGAGTCAAAAGATCAGCCTTGAAAACATACATACAGATAACATTCTAGGGACTGAGCAGGTTATGTTTAGGATTACCTATGTATATACACATATATATTAGCATGCAACAACAAAAGAGAACATGAATTTGAAGATCAGGTAAGGATATGTGGAGCAGCTCTCAACCTTCCTAACACCCGACCTACCTCATGCTGTGGTGACACCCAACCATAAAATTATTTTGTTACTACTTTAAAACAGTAATTTTTCTACTTTTATGAATCATAATCTAAATATGTGATATTCAGATATCTGATATGCCCTGTGAGAGGGTCATTCAACCCTCAAAAGGTAGCTTCCCACAGATTGAGAGCCTCTGGTATATGGGGTTTCGAGGGAAGGAGAAAATGTAATTATATTATAATCTCGAATATAAAATTAAAGAGATACTATGCAAGTTACAGATTATCACACCATCTCCACTCCCCCAAAATGGCAGAGTTATCTTTTAGGTAAGCATATACGTAGACATGCATCTGTTTGTTACTACTGCTGTGTGATCAACAATGAAATGTCACTACTTCCTTTGGGTCATCAATTTGCTGCTAGAGTCCAATGGCATGTGGATTACAAGTGTACAAAAGTACAACCCTGCAAAAGAACCAGAAAAAAAAAAGAGTTTGTCTAAACCAACACACCAGTGCATACTATCATCTAAACAGCTGGAAGGTAGATGAGGTAGGGTGACAGGAATTCAAGGCCACTCTCACCTCTGGGTTTGGAGAGAGACCATACCCAAAAGGAGTAAAGGAATAAGGTTGAAAGTGACAGAAAACATCTGATGCTATTGTCTGGGTTCTGTACACAGACGCATACTCACATCTAAAGAAAATCCTGACAGATCTAATTAGGAACTACAAAACCTTTGGGTGTGTTATTCTTCCTTCTTGTATGGCTGTGTGTATATGTACTGTTTACATGTGACTGTCTTTTTACGTTGTCTGTATGGTACCAACATGTCTTATTAGTGAGTGGCCACATAATTTGAATGGATCAACTTAGCCCAAATTCCTTTTACTTCAGAGTATAACTGCAATTTTAAACAGCTCCCACAGGTTAACTCTGTCCACCAACCCCGGTATGCCAAGTAAAGGCACAGTAACAGTGAGGGACAGAGAAAAAAGTCATTGTGCCCATGGTGGATGAAGCAGGCAGATAGGTCTGAGGGCCCAGGTATGTCTTTGAGATACCTGCACAGCTGCTGGTGTATGTACATCTGGTAAAGAAAGTTGAAGGGAAAAATGCTTTAAGATGAGAAAGGGTTTTTGATAGTAGTTTTATCTGTAAAGATTTTTCAAGATGAAAATAAAAAACAGTAAAACAAAATCAGAAAATATAATCAGCTACAAAAGATCCAAGCAGCAAAAAAACATACAGACAGGACATATAATGGCTGCATATGGTTAAGTTCGCTGTCATTAACTTTTACTAGGGTTCTCTCACACTCAGACTAATGCTTAGATGCTCACTTCCCATCAGGCTGCTCCAGACACAAGGAGGAAGCAGCTCAGTGTTCCTTTGCAGAGCAAGACACTACTGCTTTAGTGATTTTTTTTTTCATCTCTGAACAAGGGCAAAGCCCCATGTCTTAGAACCCCACCGAGAGAGTTTTTTCCAGTATCCTGGCTCCCCACAATTGTCCAAACATTGCCCTCTTAGAATCATCACTTCAGTCCAGGGTATCTCTGCAATAGCATGTATCTGTATGGAAAATGCTTTCTTCCTGAGGTTAAGGTTACCAACTGGGCCTGTGCTTGTGACCCTCATCTTTTCTCCCTGACCCTCTGGGCTATCTCTATTTTATCTCTGTGATAGAGACCCCTAAAGGCAAGTTTAGAAGCTGAAGATAAGACCCTGTTGCTGAAGACAACACACACTTGAAATACAGGACTTGGAATGATCCAGCTAGAGCTGATCTTCTGGAAGCCTCCTTCCCAAAGACTGACTTTCATATCTTCAGAGGATGTAATCCATAGTCTTTCCTAGATGCAACGCCCAAAAGCCACAGCAATAACTGTGCCAGCAAGATAACCATAACAGTGCAATATTGGTATTTTTATCAAAGAACAGCTGTCTAGACTTAATGAGAAGGAATGTATGGCTGCAATTGTAAAGCTAGCAACAACTACCCATGGCTGGACAGCTCATACACCCTAAAGGAAAATCTACTATCATTTCCTTAAACTAGCAAAATTTCTGACTGCATTCTAAATACTTATCTCTAAACCCACGGATAAATATAGCTCTTAGCCATCAAAAACATTATTTACTTGTCTTTTTTTTTTCAACAGATAGAGACTGCTATACAGATCCACAGCTGGTCAAAATGCAAAGAGTAAGTGTGGCATGCCCAGTCACAAGGGACACAGCTGCAAGGAATACCCTGGAAGGAATATAGGAGCTACAGGACTGGGATGCCTGCTGCTAAATAGTGTCCCCTAGATATGACAGGGGAAGGCACTTATGAACTAACATAATGGTATGGTTGTTTAAATAAGAATTAACAGCAGCAGCTGACATGCTAGTGTGGACAAGGGGAATCAACAAGGTCCCATCCCTAGATAAAGAGCTACAGGTTTAATGGCCACTAGGAGTGAGGATCCCTTTTGTTTAGGGTCATGCTCTCACATAAATTGTCAAAACCCTAGTGGTTAGACCTGGACACAGGCACACACAGGCCAGGCCAGACTCAGTAGGTTGTGTATACATATGTATACACATGTAACAATGAGAATTTAAAAACAAGAGGTCATGACTTTAAAAGAAGGAACATAACAGGAGTTAGGGGAGAGACAGAAATGATGAAAAGGATTTAAGAATACTACTATCCGGCAATTATGTTGAATGAGTTTTTTTAAAGGATGTTATGGATAGCAAAGGGGACCACAAATCAACTTGAGAAGCAAATTAGCATTTTATATATGCAAAATATACATGAAAATAAAATATTTCTTAAATAAAAGTGTTTCCATGATCAAAATAAGGGGAAAATATCTTTACCCCATTCTTCCCATTTGTTTCTGAAATAGTGGGTTAGTGATAACATGCAGCTTCCTGAACATTAGCAAAACAATCTGAAAAATATTTACCCTCGATGAGACAAAAGGAGCTTCAGGCAACTAAAATGAAACTTTTGCATTAAAAAGTTAGTATCTGGAGTTCTAGATGGGAAAAGAGGAGAACACAAGTGCTAAGAAGGGGAAAACTGAAAGGGGGAGATAAGGTGAAGTGTTATAAACAAAATAGCAGAGAAAGGGAAGGGCGGAGGAGTGACACATAACACTAAGAATGTTTTTCAAAGCCATGGGCAAACATTATTTTATGTCTACATAAATATGCATATATACTATACACACATGTCCATGTATATATACATAAACACTCATACAGTCTGAGTGAAGTTACAGCACTTGAGGTGATAATGACCCCACACAGGAACCACAAACTATTTAACAAACACTGCTGCCTCAGTCAAGGGCAACCTCCTGCACAGTTGTTTGTTAGAGGGAAAGAAATGCCCCGAACAACATAGGTTGTATACATACATACATACATACATACATACATACATACATATGTATGTATGTATAAAATAATTATTGAAAGAAGTAATGAATTTGAGGTGAATATGGGGCATAGGGCGAGTTAGGGAAGGAGACGGGGACTGAAATGATATAGATATGGTACCTGTGTATGAAATACTCAAAACTTAAAACTTAAAACTAAGGGCAGTAGAGGAAAAAGTGTTCTTCAACAACTCAGATAGTCAGAACTTATTCTCCAAATGAGAATGCAGATGGACTGGCAATCCCAAACTCAGAGTGCTGAGGCAGGAGGATTTGGAGCATCAAGCCAGCCTGCCTATGTAATGAGACCATGTCTCAAAACAAAACCAAAAATGAAAAATGAAGTTTGGTTTCACTATAACAAAATTAGTTCCTGTCAGGCAATGATGACACATATCATAATCTTTGTGATGGAGAGGCTCAAGCAGGAGGATTTATGTGAGTCTGAGGCCATTCTGGGTTTATGTGGCAAGATCCTGTCTCATAAACACAGAAAGGAAACAGATTAGCTCCTAGTGTTCCAGGAATGAGGTGCAGGGACAAAGAACCGAGGTACACTAGTTTGCCCACATGGCAACCCAACCATAAACAGTAGACTTAGAATTTTAATAACTGTTAGTGCTTGCACTTTTTGGATATCTAACCCTAAACTAAAGCAAGGAAGTAAACAGATAAGAGAGCAATCCAAAATAAAAAAAAGCTTCACCAGAAATATTGTATCCCAATTTCCCTTCAGATCTCACGAAAACTACTCACTGCCCAATTTGCGACCAATTCCGCCTCTAAATTCTCTTCGCCTTACACACTCAAGTCCAGGGAACAAAGGCTCTGATTGAATACTTCAATTTTCTTTCCTGCAAATGTCTCTCCTACAGAGGCCACAGCTTGGCACTTACAAATTAACTGTACGCCGGCATATTTATGTGATATACATAAAATGTATATCACAGTAAATGAATTATCAAAATATGTTTGGAGCTTATGAAAGCTCATGTTAGCTTTCATAAAAGCTAGCCTTTGCTCTAACTTATACTATGTTCAAGGTTTTATCTCCAGCAACTCAGAAAGGAAAGGGGCTGGAGTTCTAGTCTTACAAAGAAAAATAAAGTCAATCACTAATGATGCAAAACTTTTTGTTCAGACCAGGAAGCTGTGGGGCATGCTGCTACCTCAGAGCTAGGCTCCATTCAGACACTAGGGAAATAGTTAATTATGCAACAGAAGGTACAACTTGCTGAATACATGTCTCAATTCATTTAGTTGTGTGAAGCTGGGAAATACTTTCTGATTGTTTTAATCTCATAACTTAGAAAACAGATACATTGTTGAACTTTTAAAAATACATTATGAAAATAATGTGTGTATGTGCACATGTGCCGGACAGAGGAGTGAATGGGGAAAGAGTTCTAGGGACTTAGCTTGGGGTGTCAGACTTGTGTGGGAAGCACTGGTACCTGCTGAGCCAGCTCCCTAGTTTACATGCAATACATTCGTGAAGGGGAAACTCTGAAGTCATATGCACGATAACATTTATGTGGTTTCTGTAAACACAGAAAAAGTTAATTACACAAACCGGAGAATAGCTAGCTATCTCTGATATTCCAATGTTGTTTTTTTTTTTTTTTATTTTTCTTTCAAGATTTTTCTAAAATGGAGCAGGCAAGATGGCTCAAGGGACATAAAGGCACTTGCCAACACACCCGAAAACTAGGTAGAAAGAAGCAGATGATGCCATATAGCTCCACAAACATGCCATATGACACACGTGTACATGTACACACACACACACACACACACACACACACACACAATAACAAATGTAGAAAACTATTTTTCTGGCATGGAGATCAGATTTTATTTTGTGTTCATTTCTTAAGTCTCACTCAATAGCCTAGAATGGTCCTAATGTCACTATAGAGCCCAAGCTCCTCTAGTCTCAAATTCATGGCTTTCACCCTCCTCAGCCTCCCAAATCCTGGGATTACAGATGTCTACCAGCCACTGTACTGGGCTTCTTTTTTTTTTTCCCTAACTAATAGATATCTTAGCAAAAATATAAGCTACAACAATATTTAATTGTACTTTTGAAATGCTGGTGTCCATAACTATGCTGAACAAGTATCTTTTTAAATGCCTGTCTTAAGTCATAAACTTAACATCAGTTTCAAGGCTGATATTTTTTAAATTATCAAGAAACAGAACAGTCTGAGGTACTTTCATTAACAAAAGAAAAAGCAGGCAAGGTATTTTTAATAGATTAATGAAAAATGTTTTCTCTAAAACAGTAACTGACAAATTTGACATACTTAAGATAGATAAAATTGTTTTGTTACCAAAAAAAAAAAAAAAAAAAAAACCTTCCTCGGGAGACTTTCACACAGCCTAAACCATTTGCAAACCACAGTTTCATCTACGTCAATCGGTAACATTTTAAAAACCACACAAAAAGGAAAGGAAATTTTTAGTTCAGCAGGCAACCCTGCAAAATGGGCCTGTTGTCGCTGTGGCTAACTAAACAGTTCATGATTCTCTGAAGACCCAGATCCAGGCCTGCTCCGGCCAAAGAAGACAGCACCAGGTACGTCCTTTTCAATGATTAGCTAATTCAGGGCTTTTTTCCATAGGAACCAAAGTCATAATCTTTTAGTGTTGAAGCAGAAAAAACCTAAAAGTCACAAGGCTGCTGGGTGGCAACAACTATTAGACTATAATAGACTAAGCTATGGGTTTCTATCAGCATCTTCTGCTTTCTTTAGGTCTTAAAAAAAAAAAAACAATTCAAATTAGACTAATTATCCAGACAAGAACAGCTTGAACTATTTGCTTTTCTAACTGGATTGATAGGGAGAGCCATGGTGTATCTTCCCAAGAGGGCCTAACCAGGCAGTCCTCTACTAGTCCTGCATTAGTAAATTTCAAAGCACATCCACCATGACTCCCATGGAAAATCTACTGAGTTTTTGTTTTATTTTACTCCCTAAGGAATGAGCAATCTATGACAAAGAACCAAGGAGACATGTAATTTCCATTCTTCATTTTGCTGGGATAGTGCTGTGTGCCTACTTGGCACAGATACTATTGCCACAATGTTTATCAAGCTCTTGGATCTGACTTGAGATAGGGAGCATGAGATGTTGTTATACTACAATTCTGCCTGCCGATCAAAGTATGCAAAGTTTTGAGAAACTATTTTTTCTTGGCAAACTAGACACAGTTATAAAGCAAAAAGTACTCCAGACCCTCCAATATTAGTTACATTGAGACTATTTGAAGTAAATTACCCCATTCTGGAATAGATGGTCAGTTCTAATTACAGAGAATACCAATCAAGACAAACTATTATAAAACTTCTCTTTATCATATGTCTCGACAATAAAATGAGACTTTGCCATGTAATTATTTAGGCAAAGGGGCACTAACAGAAACAAGTAACCATTTACTGTCAGTATGCAACATTTGAAGTGCCTAGAAGGAAGTCAGAGAAATGTGGCATGGCATTCAGACATGAAGAGCGTCCTTCAGGCCCACAGGTCTGTAGGCAGGACTGGCAAAGAAGAAGGAGAAAGCTTAAGAGCCCAGAGAATGATCAGTAAGCATGGATCCTCATCTTGCTCAAATAAGTTGCAAAAATCTCCAGCATTTTACAGTCCCTTCAATAGATCTGAGGACTGAAAAGAAGTCATCAATAAAGAATCCACCCATCATTAAAGCTCCTGGATTCTAAAATTGTACCACATGTTTAAGTACAGAAAAGGACAGGACTTACTCACAGACTGTGCAGACCCAAACAATCTAAAGAGAGACTGGGGATTAAGGGAGGTGGAGGTGTGGATCAGTTACCTGCTAGGTATGCAAAAGCCTTGAGTTCAAGTCGAGCATTGAAAGCAAAGACAGCTATCAGGGAATGTTAGGGGGAAAGTCGATCATGGTAACTTTGACAGTTTACAGAACTTTACATGGAAGACCTAAAGTTAGCTTTTAAATGTGTGTGTGTGTGTGTGTGTGTGTGTGTGTGTGTGTGTGTGTGTTTACAACCACATATAAATGTGTGTATATATGTGCATGAGTATGAACACACACACAGGAAGATTACACTGCAAAACACAAAGAATGCCTATATTTCTTGAATTTCTTGAGTGCTTGGGAGGAAAGTTAAAACTAAGATGTTTATTCAGTTGTTTCATGTAAAAACTGCTGAAGATATTCCTGCCACACAACCCTCAGGTAAGGACTGGTCCATACAGCATTAATCATTAAGATGAGAATCATCACTGGCATTACCATGGCTTTTGAAATATGGCTGAGAAGAATTGTGGCTCTGTAATTTGCCAGTTATCCTAGCAATGGATTTAAAGCTTGTCATACCTCAGATTATAGCAACCATACAACAGGACTCATAAAATGCTTTTATAAAAAAATGGACAGTCATCAAACACAAATAGTAAGTGCTATAAATTTTTCATTAAGGTACAGAAAGACAGTACCATGGACCCCAAAAATCCTAATTCCTCTGGGGAAAAGGGAAGAGCATGTAACTTAAGAAAGTTTAAAATACATCTGCCTTAACAACTTAATTTCAATCACTGCATCATTTCAAGATAAACACAGCAGGGCCATTAGATGGCTTGGCCACTAAAGGTGTAAATTAGGTGCACAAGCAGATCTAAATTCATCCCAGAATTCCACAAAAGATGGAAGGAGAAAAATGACTCCACAAAATTGTCCACTGTCCTCCACATGCACACCGAGGCACATCCACACTCTTAAGCCACGAACATGAATGCGAACATGAATGATTATAAATAAATTTTGAAGAACTACATTGTATCATTAAATATTTATTTTGAGACTTTAAAGCTGAATAAGATGACATGAGTTGTTTGATTTAGAGAGGGGTTTTACTGCTCCTGAGCCATTCCATTTTCAGTCAGTAAATTTTAGACATTCTGTAAAGTTATGTATGACTTTGCTACTAACGAAATTCTAGAACCTGAGAAGCCCAGGTTTTTCACTGTCTGATTTCTGGGACATTTAGGAAATTCCACAAAGATTTGCTTTATGGAAGTGATATGTTTTACTTCCCTTTAAAAAAAGAATATTAGTTATCATGAAAATGGATTACACAGCACAGAATACCACGTGTGACCCTAAACATGGGAGCCACACTAAATCACACCAAAGGGAGCTCAGTTTAACTTGAGCTCATAAGTCAAGCCAGTGTTGTCTCCATGGAAGGAGCATGACAAGATTTTCTTGTCATTACCAGGCTCAATTGTTTTTTGCTTTGTTTTCTTTTAAATTGAGCCAAGGTCTTGTGGATACCAACCTATCCTTGCCATTTAGCCAAGAATGAGCTTAAACTAGTGTTCCTCCTGAGTGCTAGCATTATAAATTAGTACCGACAAGTCCAATAAAGTTATATGTTTTAATACAGATATACTGGCCCTCCTTTGGAAAATATTGTAATCAATACATTTAGACCCTTGTTCTAGAAGCTTTTAAAGCACACATTCATAAAACTATTAAAAAGCACTTCCATAGAAATAGTTAAAGCCATCATGTTCAACAAAAATATTTGTCAAACTCCAACAATACAAGATTTTTTTCTATTTAGGTGAATTAAAAAAAGGAAAAAGAAAGATAAGAAAGTAATTTCACTAACATAGCAAGCATAACAAAAACATTACATGGGTATTCAGAGTTACATAAGATCTTTAATATGTTCACCATTTAAAGTGTTTACCAGTCACTCACAGCTGAAGGCCACAACACTGACCTTCATAGGGCTGTACCACTACAAAACTGGAATATGATGAGAGGGGTAGTAGGCACCAATTCAAAACCAGTCTAACTCTTTAACTCCTCCCACTGAAAATAAGAGACAAAATTTTATTTCTAAAAATATGTTAACAGGATTCACAACAGAGGACCTGGTTTGTTTGTTTGTTTGTTTTTGGGGGGAGAAAGGGTTTATTTCATTTATACATCCACATCAAAGTACATCCCTGAAGGAAGTCTGGGCGTGAATTTAAACAGGACAAGAACTTGGAGGCAGGAGCTGGTGCAGACGCCATGGCGGAATGCTTCTTACTGGCTTATTCCTAATGGCTTGCTCAGCCTGTTTTCTTATAGAATCCAGGACCACCAACTAAGGGATGACACCACCCACAGTGGTCTGGGTCCTCCCACATCAAATCAATAATTAAGAAAATGCCTCACAGGCTTTCCTACAGTCTGATCTCATGGAGACATTTTCTCAGTTGACATTCTTTCCTGTCAGATGACTCTAGTTTGTACGTATAGCATATAAGGTAAATACCATCCGTGTTTTCATACAATATGCAGCAGCATGGCTCGTGCAGGGGTCCTCATGTGGCCTTTGTCCTGCTGTTTGATGTGGACCTTAATCTGCCACCATGCAAGTTACCTAAGAATACACTTCTTTTTTAATTTTATTTTTTACATATCAATCCCATTTCCAATTCCCTCCCTCCCCTCTCCCTCCCTCTCTCTTTCCCTTTCTCCCTCACATGTATCCCAACCACCCTCCCATCCCACCCCACCCCCCACTCCACATGTAGGGTGATGCCATCCAGGAGGGGAAATCTAAATCTGTCAAGTCATTTGAAGTAGGAACTAGGATTTCTCTCCTGTCTCTAGGTTAAGGGAGTATCCCTCCATGGGGGATGTGTCCACAAGGTCCTTTTGTGCACCAGGAATACATCCTGGTTCCACTGTCTGAGGTCCCTTAAACTGCTCAGGCCTTCTAGCTGAGACCCATGTTCAGGGGGTTTGAGTCAGCGAGGGCCTGCTTTTAAAATAACAATATCAAACCCTTTCTACCATTTGCTGTCATCTCTTTTCTCCTATCAGCCTAGGTTCTTGAAGCATAAGCTACCAAATTTATAAAAGGAAAGCAGAAAATCACACAGAAATCTGTTTCAGACAAAACCACAGCACCTTCCTCTCTCCACTTCCCAGAACCTCTGGTCATTTACATCCTCTGCAAAGAAATTTCACCCTAAACCCGTAACAGAGAGCTATAAAACACAAACCCACAAGGTCAAAAACATCCCTTCACAAAAGCAAATTTGCTCGGGATTGCCTGAAAGTCATAGAACAATTGAGAACATGGGACCATTTAGGATGTTCCCACTAGCTCAGTGAAACTCTTCTTAAAAATTAGGAAGACCATGGTGTTTTGAGAACAAATGTTTTTACGGAAAGTACTTTCTGATTTTAGTGACTAATATCTCCCTCTTCTTTTTAACAGAGCCGTGGGTTTTTACTTTTTTAATTATTGAATTCAAGCTTCTCCCTGAAGATGACAAATAGTTCACTATTCTGTCCCGTATACAGAGATCTGGAACCATTTACATATTTTTTTTACTTAGTTTTCCTTGTTGGAATCATTGGAAGCTGTTTTGCAACGTGGGCTTTCATACAGAAAACCACAAATCACAGGTGCGTGAGCATATACTTAATTAATTTGCTCACAGCTGACTTCCTGCTCACTCTGGCATTACCAGTAAAAATTGTTGTTGACTTGGGTGTGGCACCCTGGAAGCTAAGGATATTCCACTGCCAAGTGACGGCCTGCCTCATCTACATCAATATGTACCTATCTATTATCTTCTTAGCCTTTGTCAGCATTGATAGATGCCTTCAGTTAACACACAGCTGCAAAATATACCGCATACAAGAACCTGGATTTGCAAAGATGATATCGACGGTCGTGTGGCTCATGGTCCTTCTTATAATGGTACCCAACATGGTGATTCCCATCAGGGACATCAAAGAAAAGTCAAACGTAGGCTGCATGGAATTTAAAAAGGAGTTTGGAAGAAACTGGCATTTGTTAACAAATTTCATATGTGTGGCAATATTTTTGAATTTCTCAGCCATCATCCTGATATCCAACTTCCTTGTAATTAGGCAACTATGTAGAAACAGAGACGATGCAAACTATCCAAACATGAAAACAGCTCTAATCAACATCCTCTTGGTGACAGCCGGTTACATCATATGCTTTGTTCCCTACCACGCTGTCAGGATCCCATACACCCTCAGCCAGACTGAGGTCATATCTGATTGCTCAACTAGGATCTCCCTTTTCAAAGCCAAAGAGGCCACGCTGCTCCTGGCTGTGTCCAATCTGTGTTTTGATCCTATCCTGTACTATCATCTCTCCAAAGCATTTCGTCTGAAAGTCACTGAGACTTTTGCTTCACCTAAAAAGACTAAGGCTCAGGAAGAAAAATCAAGATGTGACAATGATGTATAAGATAAGGGGGTTCTGACTGAACTGCAAAGTTGGTCTCAGTTTTCAAAGACAAAAGAAGATAATTAGCAATAAAAGTTGCTGATCGCTAGCAAACACAGACTAATCCCTGTGGGAGGTCCTTTTCTCAATACAAGCCAACCCTGTACTCACACATTTAGTGATATTCTTTGGCACAACTATTTGTACAGGAAAATTAACAGAGCATCTTGAACCAGGATCAACCTGGGTAACCAAAGTGAGGAGAGCCAAGGCAAAGACTCAGAGGCTCATCTCAATGGTTGCAACTGACTTCTTGATGAAAATATGCCACATAATCTGCACCTACATTTCCAGAAAGTCCTTCAGCAACACATTAAAGGTCTTCAGCAACCTAAACAATAAAGACCTCAAAATACCTGCATTGTCTTCATTTTTAACCTACCACTTTGAAAGTTAGTAAATGCACTATTCAGTACTCCTACTTTTAACATCTTTTTTGCAACACAATAATTTTTAGTTATAAAAAATTTATGGTGGCAGGAACTGTGGATCACAGTGGTTAATTCCAGCACACTGGAGGCTAAGGCAAAAGGGTCATTCATGATGAGTCTGGCATGGGCTACAAAGTGAATTGCAGGCCATCCTGGCCTATCAAATGAGATCCTATCCCTAATTAATTTTAAAAGGGGGTTGCAAATACATGGGTAGGTTTTTAACAACATGAGGGAACAGCTAAATTATATTAACTATTGAAACTGTTTTGGAAGTGAAAATACATATCAAAAGTATTCGAAAACTAAGACCAGCCAAAGAGTCTTAAAGACAGAGATTCATCACTAGGCCACACTAGGAACATAGCCTATATTAGGCCATAGTACCTCTCCAATCTAGAGACCTGACCAATCAGAAAGAACCTGCAGTCCACAGAATAAGTCACTCTGGCTCTGAGCAGATCCTCTCTACTGCCAGCACAGACACAGGTGAGGCATGGCAGTAAATGAGCAGACTAAGAAAACTGGAAAAGAACCGAGAAGCATGCATGAGGTTTGTGCTTGTGTTTTGGTTCAGTTCCCCTTGACACAGGATCTCCTACAGCTCACTGTGGCCTTGAGCTCACTATGTAGCCACAGTAAACAGCTGATCTTTTTCTCTCTACCTCCTAAGTTCTGGGATTATAGATGTGTGCTACCAAAAGTAGCCCTTCCATGTGTATTTTTAACATTACAAAAGTCCACATAAAATAGTTAAAAATGGGCTAGAGAGATGGTTCAGTAGTTAAAAGCACTGGCTGCTCTTGTAGAGGACCAAGGCTCAGCCCCCAGCACCCCTTACATGGAGGCTCACAATTGCTCATAACTCCACTTGCAGAATGGATCCAAAACCCTCTTCTTGCCTCCTCTGGTACCAAGTATGCTGATGGTACACATATATACATGCAGGCACACACACACACACACACACACACACACACACACAGGCGTGTCTTTGATCAAACAATAGAACAAAGAAACTGATTTTGGATACCTGCTCGGATCCCACAAGCACAGAGAAGACAGACCTGTAAACTCTCAATAGCCAGCACATATAACTCTCAACTACTTCTGTGACTTTACTGTATTATCTTACACGTTTGTTTGTTTGTTGTTTGTTTTTCGAGACAGGGTTTCTCTGTGTAGCCTTGGCTGTTCTGGAACATTGTCTGTAAACCAGGCTGACCTTGAATTCACAGAGATCAACCACTCTGCCTCCCAAGTGCTTGTATTAAAGGTGTGTACCACTACTGCCAGGTTTACACTTAATATTTTAACAAACCCAAGGTATGATTGTTCATCCATGCATGTGTCAGAAACATCTGTTATCTATAAAGTCAATCTCTCCGTTACCACAAATGAACTGCCAGATTACTCTGCTGAATTGAAAATTGGAGACAGAGAAAACCCATAGAAAATTATTAATAATATTCTGAGATGAACAAGAAAGGATTTTGTAAAGTTTTGACATAGTACAAGGACACAAACAATAAAGAGTATTTTAATTGACATAAGACATAAAATATGAACTTAATGAGCTTGAGTCATTTTCCAAAATATCAACTATATTTAGCTTTAACAAAATCCTAAGCTGGAGCTCGAGAGATGGTTCAGTAGTTAAGAGCACTGGCTGCTGCTATTCCAGAGGTCCTCCCTCTCTACAACTGTAATCAACGCAGTGTTGAGCTGTGGGTCTCTGCTTCTGCTTCCATCAGCTACTGGATGAAGGCTCTAGGATGGCATTTAAGGTAGTCATCAATCTCATTATAGGGGAAGGATATTTAAGGTTGCCTCTCCACTATTGCTTAAAATCTTAGTTGGGGTCATGTAGTGAGATATTCACTTTGTCTGCACCTGTGGCACTGACCATGTCCATTGGAGGTGGAGACAGAGGCAGACATTACCTGGGGGAACTAAGTCTGAGGAGGGGGTCCTGGGAGCTCTCTTGCTTGCAGGAGTACATCCAGAGACATCCTTGGGACCAGGAACCTGCTGGTGTTCATCTGTCTATATTGTAAGTTATTTCTCCCTGAATAAACATCTACTTGGCTTATTTGTTTCTCCTGATCCTTATTAAACCACAATAGGGTCATTCTTTGTCGATCTCTGGACACTTCCCTAGTGCCAGATTTCTCTTTAAAATTATAATGGCCCCCTCTATATTTATCCTTTATGCACAAATGGACATTGGGAGCCTATTCCCCATAGAGGGATACTCTCTCAGCTTAGACACATGAGGAAGGATCTAGGCCCTGCCACAAATGATGTGATAGACTTTGATGAAACTCCATGGAATGCTTCATCCTTTCTATGGAGCAGGGGAGAGAATAGGATGGGGGTTGGTAGGGAACATGGGAGGGTGGGACAGAGAGGGAACTGGGATTGATATAAAAAATAAGATTGTTTCTAATCAGCTTACTGCTCAAAACTTCTACAAGTCCAAAACACAGCATGCAGGAAACAGTTTACCTGAGAATTAAAAAAGTCTCAGCTCTTAGCCTAATGTTCATTACTAACATTCTCTTTGGGATAAAAACCTTGCTACTTAAGATTTCAACACTAAGTTCCTTGTCACTCTCTTCTCAGCTGCTACCCAAGCTTTAAACCTACCAAGTCCAAAGCCAAGCCCACCTACCTCTGTCCATCATCAAGTCACAACCAACTTCTTAGTGACAGTGGTCCTTCTCCCCTATATTCACTTTGAGAATGGAAGGGACACAGGAATGTCAAAAGCCTGCCTTTTAGTGGGCACTTAGGTTTTCACCCAATTGCTTCACTAGCCCCAAAATTCTTACTCATCTGTAACATGTCAAAAGTACCAACAGTCAAGCAATACAAGTTAAAAAAAAAAAGTAAGCAGCAATTGACTTTGAAATTAAAGTAGGAAACATATTTAGACATTACTTAGTGACTCAAATCCTTTTAATAAAAAGATATTAATACAGGGAATTATATTACATGTGGTTAGTCACTAATAATCACACCATAACATCCAAGTTGTATCTGGACACAAGCCATATGATCCAAATGACAACCATCATAGCAAAGTGCATATTTTCACCTGACAGCATATGTGAGCAGACAAGCAGGTGGCTAATCTGACCTCCTGTCACTAATGAGCATAGAATGAGATCACCATGGCCCACACTGATGGAGCCGTGACTTACCAGAGGTATAGGAAAGTGGGTGGCATACTGTAGGTGACGGAGGAGGTCATAATTTGATGGAAAAATTAGTTCCCTTGGTTTTTCTCTCTTCAGCAGTTTCTCGCCATTAACTGAAATTCCTCTGCTCAGGGAAGAGTGGGCATTCTCACAGGACTCTCCAGGCATGGGAGAGAAAATCTATGTCATGTAAAACAAATATCAGACATCATTAATGAAGAGAGCAAAACCACACCATTGTGCCACATGTCAGGGCTTCAAACACAAGATGCTCACACAATAGCATTTCCACAAAATAGCTGATCAAAAAGATACACAGAAACTTTATTAATGTCCGCAAAATTAAATCACACAAACAAAAAAATCTGTAAATATCACCGCCCACCCCACCCCCTTGAAAAAAATGGGAAAATGTGCCTGGGGAAGCGGGTGGGGAGGGAGTGGCCAAACCAGTAAGAGGACCGACCGGCCATGCAAGCAAACTTAAAAGTGTTATCCTCAAAGAGTTGCATTTCCTCCAAAAACACATGCTTAATAATACTTAATAAGATTAACCCATAGATAAATATTTTAAATGTACAACCATTTTATAAAAGCAATGCTTTTATAAACAGCAAGATTCATGAAAAACATATACTGAGACACAGTAGAAAAATGAATTAGCCATAATGCTATCCTTTAGAAACTCGATACAAAGATTATCACAATGACACTACTTCCCACTCCTCAGAGAGGATGATCCCAAAATAAAGTGTCAGAGCCAGTCAGCTCTGAATAATTTACAAAGGAGGCAATACAGCTCGGGAGTGAGGACGGCTTGAGAAGAAACAACTGCAGAAGACCGCTATGACTTAGGGTGGATGACATTTGCATCACATGTGTGAGTCATTCCAATACATGAGGCAAGAAATAAAAAGATGGAGACAGGTCGGGATGGGAATTGGTGAGTTAACTGTCAATGAGAATCAAAGGTTGAACCTACTGGAAACTCAGAACCAAAGTCACTTTTAAAGTCACTCTTGTCTACTTCATCAAAAATGTTAGTGGTTCCTGAGCCAAGGCCCATGTGCGCCATAATACTGTGTTCCTGGTAATTGCCAGAAAAAGAAAGCCATGTTGTAAACTTTGCAGTTTAAGAAATGGAAGTTGAAACATTACAGTAATTTTTTCAACATCCTATCAATTCACTCCCACTTTCTATTTCCCTAAAAGAAGTTAAAGGAAATTTGAAGACATGTATTGGGTTTAAGAGCCACATTCTGTCCCCTTGTGACAAAGTCTTAACTCCCATGATGTTTTAAAGGAAGAGCCACATTTTGTAACTTAAAACAAACTGGCCACAATTTCTTCCATTTGGACTATTTCCAATAGGAAAAAAAAAAAATGAGATACTTAAAGATCTAAGAATAACATGAGATGCTTTAGAAAACAAACAAATATAGCCAATCATAAAAGAGTATCTGGTAAATACAACACAGAAAATTCTAGAAGACATTTATTCCAAATGTGATTGGACAGGAATTAATTTTGTTGAGAGAAAGTAACTAAAATCCAGCTGCCTTTCCATCACCAAATTGCCTATCTGACACTGACTCCCCCAGTGGAGTTTACTTTGGGATGTGGTATGGACATCACCCCCAGGGGTATACCTCCATCTTCATATCATGGTCCTTGGAATAGTGTTCGTCTGCATTCTCTCCTACTGGTGACCGCAGCCCAGT